AAAAAGTTTATGAACAGAATGTCACTAGCTGTTGAGATTATCTTAAATCCAATCTGGCAGTAGTGACCTTTTCAGTCTGCTTACTGTCTATGGATTTATTGCCATCATTTCATTATATACAATATTTCCCCTTTGCTATGTTTTTAAAATTCCTCTTCTTTTTTATCGTGTTGAATTGATTGTATCTTACAGATTACAATTATCCCTTCTACTGGTTTAGAACAAGGGTCAGCAAAGTATAGTCTATGGGCCTAATCTTATCCCCACCTTTTTTCATAAGTAAAGTCTTAGTGGAATACAGCTACACGTATTAGTGTATCTATTTTTTTTTTTTTTTAATTTGGGGAGGGATGGAGAGAGGAGGACAGAGGATCTGAAGCAGGCTCTGTGCCAACAGCAGTGAGGCCCACACATGACTCAAACTCACAAATTGTGAGACCATGACCTGAGCCAAAGTCGGCCGCTCAATCCACTGAGCCACCCAGGTGACCCTAGTGTATATATTTCCTATGACTGCTTTCACACTACCGCAGTAGAACTGAGTAGTTCCAACAGAAACTTAAAACCTAAATTATTTATTATCACATCTTTTACAGAAAAATTGTATCAATCCTGATTTAAAATACACACTATTTCGTGTTCTGAGGTTAATGAGTTTAATCATCATTAAATAAAATGCAAAACCATTTCCAACCATCCATCTTCCATTATATATTCCATAGTTGCACTGTATTTTACTCTACTTAACCCGAGTTAATGTTATTTAATTCTCTTCATTTTTAAAACCATGATTATTAGACATTATTATTTATATTAGCCTACCCCCATCTTCTTGCTCATCATTATTGTATATATTTTGGGGTTAACTGTTTTTCTCCCTAAGGTAAAATCTTTAGCAGTGGTTTTGCTATTGATGATAAATTGTCTCTCCGTTTTACTTGCCTAAGAATTATTTTGCCCTAATGTTTGATATAGTTTTGCTGGGTATAGAATTCCAAACGATGGTTATTTTTCCTTAGCAATCTGAGGATAGTAATTACCTGTTGACCGACTTCCAAGTTGAGAAGGCGGCTCTGATAAAGAGGTCGGCTGTTGACCCAAAAATTGTCTCCAATTTTCTGGAATACTGATTAAATACATGTTAGAACTCCCTTTGATCTTCATATACTTTAAGTTCTTTTAAATTTCTTCTTGCATGTATTTTTCCTTCCCCGAAGTTCATTTAAAAATTTTGTACTCCCGTTTTTATTCTCTCTTCTTTAAGACATACAAAATTATTGGGGCTCCTGGGTTGGTTAAGCCTCCAACTCTTGGTTTCAGCTCAGGTCATGACCTCAGGGTTTGTGAGTTCAAGCCCCACTTCGGACTCTGTGCTGACAGCTGCAGAGACTGCTTGGGATTCTCTGTCTCCCTCTCTCTTTGCCCCGCCCTCCACTCATTATTTCTCTCTCTCTCTCAAAATAAATAAATAAACATTTAAAATAAATGAATAAAATATATAAAAATATGCCTATTCATATGTGTGCATGTATGTGTGGGTATATGTGAATTATTGAAGAAAGTATAAAGATGCATAATCTAAGATACCTCATTGGCCTTGTGGCTCAAGGTAGAGAATTATTTTCCTAGTTTGGACTTTTTCTAGAAGCATCCGTGGGAAAATAAACACAGTCCAGCTTTTTAAGTATGTTCTATTATATTTCACCGTCTAGTAGTAGCCACAAGGAACTGGGGAACAAATATTGCTCACCTCAATAAGCTATCAACTTAGGTTCTGGTTCCAAACTGGCTGGGTCTGGGAGCTGTTTACGCAGTCTTTTGTCTCTCATCCTTCTACATATAAGTTCTAGTTTGAAGCTGTAGTGCTTCTACCCATTCTCTCCATTGTGTACCTATATTGACATCTCAGGAATGATTGGAGGTTAGCTGCCTCTGCAAAGTTGAAACTGAGATGCAAACGTTTTAAGGTGCATGCTTTAAAACTTCTGAAATGTCTTTGTTATTTTTAAAGGCTACATCTGATCCAGGTTCTTCTTTGAAACCCCCATGTTTCAAACACGCTTTCACAAATGTTACGACAGACGTTGAGGCAGTTTTGCAGACCCTTTGCTCTTTTTAAAGTGCTAACTTGGATAAAGTGTCACGTTTCTGCCTAAATAGGAATAAATACTGGCATTGATTGTTACTTTACCTACTTTCTTCTCAATTATGATCTTAACCAGTACACATAAAGTGTAGATGCATGGATGTATACTTATCAACATATATGTTTTATCAGCAAAGGCATTTTCACTTCTAACTTTAAACAAAGTTCCAGGCAAATAAAATAAAATAATAAAATAAAATAAAATAAAATAAAATATGCAAAAGAGAAACCATAGAAAAGCAGGTAATCTGAAATGGAAATTGGATGATAGATGGAGCACTTGACTGAGTAGTTATGAGATGGTGACTTGTGTTTGGGAATGATGATTTCTTCTGCCTTGCATGGAACTGCATCATAAACATTATTCATTGTAAATTTCTTGGGAGATGATATTTGCCAAACTGTAGAGTAGCCAGTAGACTCTGGCTCAGATTCAATGATGGTGATATAGGGATTATAAAATGACAGTTCTTGAGAAAAAAAATAATTTTGGATATTCTTCACTGCATTTTTCTTATTTCTTTAGTTCGATGTAGACGATTTATTTTTGTCTTAATTTTAAAGAACTGGAATGTTTGTGATTTATGCCCTTCTCCTTTCAAAAAGAATTAGGGCCACTTTACAAAGCAAAATGCATATAAAGCAGGAAATTTAAAAAACAAACACAAAAAGCCAATACCTAAAGAACTAAAAAGACTTGAGTTATTTGGATTCTATTAAAATAGGCCAAATTATTCTGGTTTCTGACAGCAACTTAAGTATTACCAAAGTAATACTACAAATTTACTATAATAGTTCTTTGAGAATAATGTAACTGAACATATGTGCATCTATGTACATATATTCATATATCTAATTTGAAAAAGTGGGAAAATACTGATGCTAATGATCTACTTTCTTAAATGAAAAAGAACCAGTGGGGTATTTTTCCATCCCTGTCATTTTTGCTATTTTCAAAATCTCTTTGTTATTGGAGCCGATTAAGAAGATATTTAATTCATGGATTGTTGCTTTATCCATTTAACAGTGACTTATTTATTAAAAACACAAAAGTTAGTTTTGGCAATTAAAAACAGCATAAAGAGTCAAGTAACCCACGAACATTTTACATCTGATAGTCTTCTAGTCTCAATTCATAACACACTTACATTTTTGTATCCCTCTTAAATACAGCACAGCAGAAACTAGCGTCACACATTTAATAGATTTTAAAATATAGAAATATATTTAAACAGCACATTTAGAGAATAATATAATAGACTTCCGTTTCTTATTCTTACAATGGCACACTATTTATTTTAAAATATATTACTTAATGTACCCCCCAATATAGTTATTATCAAATTTTCTTTAAGATAAACTGTATTTTAAAACAACATTGCAATATACCTGAATTACAAATGAACTTATAACATTTTGGAAGCTATTTCTGATATAAGTTTGATCTGAAAGGTCCAAAACATGATTAGAAAGTGGTGCTTTATGAATATTTTAGATGAACTGTAAATAAGCCTAACCATGGAGCCACCAGAAAGAGCAAGTAATCCATCTAAATGTCATCCTTCCCAAAGTAACTGTGTGTTAAAGAGAAGCCTTAGAAGGCAAAGAAAGAAAATAAATTAATTTCAGAGGGAAGAATACACATGCACATACACACAACAGAACCTTCCCGTTTGGAATTATTTGCTCTTGGAGGAAGGTTTACAAAATCCCCTTACAAAATAAGGTTTTCATTGAGCTCATTCTCAAAGATATGAAAAATGGATTTCAGCTGTTCTTTCGAAATGGCAATTCTGTCAAAGCCATTCTGGGGTTTTTGGTAATTTCCTTCAGTTTAGTTTCAGTGCTTTCACCTAAATAAAATCCCTTGCATCACATCAATCAGCAAACTCAGTTTGAAAGGAGAGCTAAAGAAAATGGCTCTGTCGGCATCTTTGCTCCGGTATGTTTTATGTATGCAGTGACTCTTGTCTGTGGGGAGGGAAGCGGAGCGCATGTAAACGTTTCTTTATTTTGGACTGTTTTTAAATCTGGGGAAAAAAATCTGCAGAAGTCGTGTTCTAGATAATAGGCAGACGTGATTTATTTGAGGTAAGAAGGTTGTACTACGATTTTTTAGTGTTAACTTGGAAAGTTACGGACATAGGCTCAAGCCTGTCTCCACAGAGTTCCTGAAACTTTGAGTGCTTTGCAAAATCTCCAGTCCACAAGCCAGGAAGGAACATACTCCTCCAGTTACACCAATTCGGTTAAAGAAAACAGTTACAACAATTGTGTGTCATCTTTCGTCTTCTGTGTTCTGCCTACTGCTTATTTATTCAAATCCAGTTCAAGATTTCACTTTATCTAATGAAGCAGAAACTCTAAAAGAAAACTTGTGTTTATCCAAGCATTTTTGTTTTGGTTGTTCATCTTTTTTTTTTGGTTTTAGTTTTATTTCTAAATAAATATCCTATCACAGTTTTCACTGGCACAACATAACTAAATGCGTTCAATTTCCCTCACTGATGACAAAGGAGTCCTGTCTGATTTCAGATAATCATATAAAGATTGTATTAGAAAAAGAATGTTCAAATGGAATTGAATTGGACTTAGCATATCCCATTGAATGTCAAACCAGGCTATCTACATTTAATAGACCTATAAAATAGATTTTATTGATAAGGCATCCACAAAGGAGATATATACCATTAAATAAATAAAAGTGACTATATACATGATATCGTACTTAGGAACAGAAATGAAATGAGTCAGACTAATTTTATGAAATTCCCTTTTTGTCTGAAAGCATACTTTTTATTTTAGTCATAAACCTTAACACAGATCTTTTTCTTATTACCATTCTTATTTAATATTAATGACAGCCGCATGAGCGCACTACCATATTTCTGTATTTTTTCAAAATGACATTGGAGCTGTCATCAAAGTACAGCACAGAGATGGCATTTAATTTGGTTGGAGCACAACAAGGCTTTGGCACATGGTCAGGAAACATCAGATGAACCTGGGAAAGAAAAACATGTTTTGGTTTTTTTTAAGAAATAAGACATTTTGTCCACAGCTTTCAAATAATATTCCTGTTTTGTCACTCACAGTCAGGTACACCCTTAACCTATCACTCTTCTCCTATTTATGCTCAATGGCTGGGGTGGGGGTTGGAAACTGGTAGTGAAGGATGTATTTTTAAGCATTAACACCTAGAACCAACTCACCAGTTCTAATTATGTGTTGGGGCCTTGAAAAATATTCTACCAAGTAAGGAAAACTCCTTCTATGGAATATTCAGTGGAATATTTCCTGGGGGAAAGAACATGGCAACCTGCACTGAGTTGCTTCTGGTTAAAAAGACAACTTCTATAGACTTCATGAAGTCAGAACTTATACAGAAGTTATAAATGCAAATCAGTGAAGTGACACCACGAGATTTGAATCTCAGAAAGATTTGAATCTAAGAATTATTTTTTAAAGGACAATTAAGCAATAAATCACTAAAGTTATGCCAACTCTTAATTTTCCACAGTTAAAGGAAGCATAAAAATCACAGCAAAATATATTCCAGGTACAATCCAAAACTTGTTTTAAAGCAATGATTTCAAGTCTTCTCTATAGAATTTTTTGTTACCGGATTGGCTTTGACTTTCTTTCTCTCCTAGCCAAGCACCAAAAAAGCAGGCCAAGCTAATCAGAAGCAAAGAGCCTAGATATTTTACAAATTGAATATCCCTCTCCCCCAGAAGCCTAAAAGGTAGCTGTATACTGAAAGTGAAATACTTAAGTAAAGGGTTTACTCTCATTTCCATCAGACTAGCCGTCTGCCTATGATTTGCAATAATTGAGCAAGGAGCCAGAACATGGTTTCCCCTTTCCCACCCACCTACCCTGGCCCTTTCCCCAAAGGGGTTTATGGGAAGTCCCACTGATGAGTCCTGAGGGATCCACAAAAAGCAAATACAGACTCTTAGAGTTTTGGCTGCACAGTGTCCTGGCTGAAATGATATAGGAGCCCTGCATGTGGATAGAAACAGCAGGAAAAATGAGGTGATCTGACATGAACTTGAAATTTCCTAAGACCTCACAAAACTAAAAGTTGGATAGTTTCTACAAATTTCAGATGCAGCTTTTGTCCCTCATCAGCTTTATCTTCCATAACCCACACATACATGATTGATAACCCCTTGTTTCAATGGCTTTGGCAGCTTCACGAAGCAATCATTCTGAAAAAATGGATTGTTCTTGAATAGTTTCTCAAACATATTAGTCACAAATATGCTTGCCTTTAACAACAAACATGCCTGTCTTCTTGTTTCATGTCCTACACAGAACAAACGTAGAGTGCACAATGCCAGGAAAAAAAAAATCAAACTTCCCATGTATGCTTCAAGTTTTGCAATGACTTATGTCCCATATCCCAGGACAGTGATACACAGCAGGGTCTTGTTCCAAGTCCATGTCAGATTTTTTTTAAATGTTTATTTTTTGACACTGCCTTCCAGACTACAGCCCTAAAAGCTGACAGTATGTGCTTGTATATTTATAAGAAAAAAAAAATGAAAAGAAAAAATGAGAGAAAGGGAGAGTTTTTTTGACAGAGTTTTTCAATAATTAAGCAATTCTTAGCCTGAGGGAAACTTTGATATATTAGATGCATATCTCATGAAGCAGAAGTCTGCTGAGTCATTGAGATGACAGCATAAAGAAGCAAAGAATTTTCTGAAAAAGTGTCATTTCTCTATAAGCTAATAGTGACTGTTGCTCTGACCCTACAAAAAGCCAGTGATCATGGCTATTCTTCCAAGGCTTAAAACAGTAGCATTTCTCTCTAAGTAATTGGCTTTTGGGTTATGGTGAAGTCTCATAGGCAAGGATAGATGGCTAGAGTTCACATAGTCTTTTTACTGGAGGAGGTTTGAATACAACTTGAAGACCTGCCCATTCCCCAGAAATGATCTCCTGTATCAAGAAGTGCTTCTATTTATAAAAAGCAAAGATGAAAGCATAACAAATCTTAAAATTCTCACAGGAATTTACTCTATACTTTGCATGTGGCACAGAAGTAGACAATCTCATTAGTCAAGCATAAAAAGAATATTTTAAATGAAAGCCTTTCAAAATATACATTTGTTTTATCTCTGGCTTTTTGTTTTGTTTTGTTTTGTTTGTTTGTTTTTACTCTAAATTATTTCCAAAGTTTTTCACAATATCCATGCTCTAGTTGCCACAGATGTGTGTCTTTGGTGTCTAACTATTCTCTAGTACCTATGATGTCAGGGAAGAGAATAGAAAATACCAAGTCATTCAAGGATTAATCTGTCAATTTAGATATACCCTTTCTTATTCAGAAGAAAACTGGGATTTTCCTTCCCTTAGCTTTAAATTTTAAATTAATTCTGAAACAATCTTCTGAAGAGTCAACTCACAAATTCTAATAGTTATGTTTCTTATTGGCCACAAACAAGACTCACCCTCAAAGATTTTTTTTTCTTATAGCTACTGCTCACCTACTGCCATCCACCAAATAACCACTCTGTCACTAAATCTTAAATCTCAAATACTTTGTTCTCTCCCTTCTATACTGATGACATACAGTTAAAATGTTCGTATTAACCTAAACATTAATTTGTAATTATATCAGTCTATTGCACCTTCTAGAAGCCTTTCACTTAGTCTTCCAGACTGTCCCACTGCCAAATCCGTAAGTCATATACCATAAGGCAGGTATGTCAGAGTCTCAAGAGGTTTCTCGAGCTCATTAGATATAGTAGAATCATTTAGACAGCATGAAACCAACACTTAACTATTGTTTTCACAAAAATAAGCCCAGGTTATTGGAGATTAAATCACTGCTAAATTCCTGAGTGAGGAAGGGAAGAAAAGAAGATTAAATCCATCTTAAAGATTATTTAAAACAAACAAACAAACAAAAGAAACCTAGTATCAAGAAATAGAAACGAGTCTTCTACTTACATTCTATTCGAAGAACTTTCATAATATGAAAATATGTTGTGGAACATTCTTAAATAATTAGAGTAAAAGCGCTCAGATGAAATTCAGTAAGGCTATTATTCAATGTTTTTGCAATGATTACTAATGAATTGCTAGGTTAGAAATGGCCCTTGGGAACCTGTGTGGTTAGTCATATTGCATAGTGAAGAAATCAGTGCAGAGTGACTACTTCATGTGGTTACTCCAATTTTCCTAGCTGAATCCTTCCCCATTCTGGAATCAGGATTATTCTTTAAACAAGCCCAAATGTCCTGACTATATCCACAATTGTTAGTTTGGCTCTAAAAAATACCAAAGGAGTTTTAAAAGAAAAAAATCATACATTTATAGCTATAAATGGATGCTTCCCTTTAAAATAACTTTTATATGATGCTTGCATCATAAACCACTTTCAATTCTACAAAAACAAAGCATACCAGAGTCTGAACGATGGCATGGTTGGTGGCATTCATGTGGGCATTGAGTGGAAAAGAACATTCTCCATCACAATAAAATGCAGCATATCCTTCTGGTGCTATAATCCAGTCCTAAAATACACACACACACACACACACACACACACACACACACACACATAAACAGAAGACAAAACAAAACAAAACAAAGGAGAAGGAGGAGGAGGAGAAAAGAAATCACCAAAATAAAAATAAAGTAATTCTTGAAGAATACCCATATTTAGTTTAGATAGGTTTCTCTTCTTCATCCAACAATTATTCTAACATGACAGCCTCCCTCAAGCCATTAATTTATTTTTAGGTTCAAGTTTACAACACAAGTATAAATATTTTCACAAGAAATTGCCCTCTGTAATTTTTCCCAAGAGGTTGCTATGTAGGATATTCATAGTATGTATTAATTCATGTATTCATGAATAAAACCATAATCATTAAATAGCATTGTAAATATTGTTTAAACAGGAAATTATGAACTTTGGAAAGTTCAAGTGAACCAGAAAGGAAAAGAAGAATAAACTTAATTGAGATAATTCCCATTACTTCTTAATAACTCATTCCTGGTTTTAGAAGTCTGACAACCTCCTAAAGCTTTAATATTTGTTCCTTTTTCTGTTTTTCTTTCCATTCATGTGCTAACTTTATAGTCTCCTTAGAAGAAATAATTTGGAGCAAACTCTTGAGAAAGGCACATGAAATTTTTTAGGAAGCCAAAAAATTGGCATGTGGAATGGTTGTCCTGATTTTTTTTTCCCCCAAGAAGTAAAACTTGGTCCAAATATAAACTTACTGAATGAATCATGTTGAAGGTTTATCATAAAATTTTTAAATGCTTACATTTTATTATTACTTTTCAATGAGATAACTCAAATTCTGCAAATCCATTATAATCGGATAATATAATCTAAAAACTTCAATTTAAACTATCAATACATAAAGCCATTAAAAACTATTTTGGTTGGGGCACCTGGGTGTCTCAGTCGGTTAAGCATCCAACTTTGGCTTAGGTCAAAGCCACGGTTTGTGGGTTTGAGCCCCGTTGGGCTCTGTGCTGACAGCTCAGAGCCTGAAGCCTGCTTTGGGTTCTGTGTCTCCCTCTCTCTCTCTACCCCTTCCCCACTAGTACTCTGTCTTTCTCTCAAAAATAAATTTTAAAAAAAATTAGAAAAATTAAAAAAAACTATTTTGGTTAAATTCTCTTCCTCACCCTCTTTGTGAAGCACTTGTAAAAGACAGCAATAAGATTTTTTAAGTTCAAGAAAAATGTTTTTTTTTCTGTAGATCTACTTATTAATAACATTATAGACAAGGATTCTGTTTCTTAGCTCTTGAGTTTGAGACCATAAGGGGGCAAATGCTGTTACTCAAGTGAATCTGAAAAATTGGTATAAAATTAAAACTTTGGGATATGTAAACAACAGCACCTGTTTTTCCACTTTCTAAGTATCATAGGATTATGTTTCTTCTTCAGCGTAGTTGTTTTTTTACTGTAAACCCTAATAATGATGTTTCAATGGCAAAAGGACAAGGGAGAAATAAAAATGATGTGGGTAACTTATATACTGAATAGTCATATCAAATATAATTGGTTAACATATTGGAAATATTACTAACAAAGATTATGAATAACTCTGGATTTATAATAAAATGGGAAAGAAGCACCCTAGTTAACTGACCATTCTTACCTGCCATCCCAGATCCCGGAAACTCACATAGAGTTCATGCTTCTTACAGGCTTGTTTTTGTTCACTTGTATTATAATCTGAAGGTAAAAATCAGATTTTAAAGACAAGGCAGCTTATCAGGTATCATAATGTTTCTTTTGTGAGATCACTGATAAAATTAAAAAGAAGCTGTATTTAAAGTTGTAAACTAGGAGTTTGAATCGTAAACTAGGAGTTTGAAGCCAGAGCCACCTAATTAATTATGTGAACTTTAGGCAAATCACTTGTCATGAGTTTCTTCTTCTGTAAAATGTAGAAGATACCATTTACCTTCTGAGGTTCTAACAAGAATTTAGTTAGACTCCCTGCTTTATGGTGCACGGTCTGATGCCTGCCATTCATTGAGTACTAGCTGCTCAATGAATGCTCATTTATTATTTCACACTGTGGTGGTACTTCTTATATTTGTATACATTAAATGCTCATACAATGTGTTTTTAACATCTTCCATGAGGTAGACACTGGGAAGGTACTAACTGGGATCTTACTGAGTTGATTTTAATTCACTAAATTCAGAATACTCAAAGTTGAGATTTTGATGTTCTCCCAAAACCTGTCCAATCTGTAAACCCCTCCATTTTTGACTGATGGCAGCTTCCCCCCAAAAAAGAGAGAAAGTGTCAAAATATACTCTGCTTTTTCCTCTTGCTCTTACATCCGGCCTGCCAAGAAACCCTACACATGCTACCTTCGAAATGGTCCAAAATCCACCTACTCTTACCACCTCCATGACTAGTCCTGGTTCAAGCCACGTCAGCTTTCGCCTGAATTACTGCAATATTCCCATTCCTAATGCCCTTTGCTTCTGTTCTTGCTCTTCTACAACAAAAGCAGTCAAGTAGACCTTCTAACAAGTAAATCAAATTCTATCACTCCCCAGCAAAAAGTCCCACTCTGGTCTCCCCATATCACTAAGTGAAATATCTTTACAGTGGTTTACAAGTTCCTTTATGATTTGACCCCATCATCTCTCTCACTCATTTCCTATTAAACTTCTTCTCCTTTACTCCATTCTGGCCATTATACCTCCTTGCTGTTTTCTACCCAGGTCAGCTTCCGCCCATCTTAGGGGCCTTTATACTCACTCTTCTCTCTCCCTGAAATGCCTACCCCTTGGATTTGGATATATCCAAAAGTTATATATATCCAAAGGTTGAAGAAGCTATAGGCATTCCTCAACTTTTCACTTAAGCTTCATCTTGTCCGTGAAGCCTTCACTAACTACCCTATTTAAGATCACAACTCCCACCATGATATTCCTGATATCCCTCACTTTGCTCTTATTTTTTTTTTCCATTTCACTTACCATCTTTTAATATGCTATACCTTTTATTCATTTATTATGTACATTGTTTCTTGTCGGTTTCCTCCCACTAGAGTATAAGTTCCAGAGGGCCAAAATCTTGTTTGGTTCTGTTTGGTTCACTGATATATCCCACATTTCAGAAATAATTTCTGACATATAGTAGGTACTCAATAAATATTTGAGGAATATATAAATGAATTCCTCAATGTGTTCCACAAATAACTTGAAGCAAAGGAAATATATTATTTCCTTTATATATTTTAGAATATAATTCGCAAAACTCACAATCTTTTATAATTACTTAAAAGAATTAAGAATTCTTTAAAAAAGAATTAAGGTTAAATAGAGAGCCTCCATATTGTATCCAGACTAAAGCAAAACATCAAAGAAACACAGAACTTTATAGAAACTCTATGTTGCCTTCCTTAGAGCTTACTCACACTTTATACAAATAACATTCAAAAAACCAACCCATTTTTTATTATTTCCAATATGACATATGAAAGAGGAAAAAATGTAGGGTAAGGGAGCCAGCAAAATAAATTATTTTCAAAGAAGACAGCTATTTCTTTCTTTTAGGAACAACTGCTACATTCACTCTGACAGTCATCTCTGTTAAATCAGTGTAGTTGTTTACTACACAGAGTAGTCTGTCTTAAGATGTCACCTTCCAGTTTAATTATTCTCAACCTCTAATGAAAATGTAGGCATTTCAAAGATCCATGGAGTCTGTCTTAGCAGGTCTTGCCATCCACTTTTCACAGTTACTTCATGTAGTTATTTATTTAATTTCTGCCTAGAGGGGCGCCTGGGTGGCTCAGGCTGTTAAGCATCCTACTCTTGGTTTTGGCTCAGGTCATGATCTCACAGTTTGGTGAGTTTGAGCCCTGCATCTGGCTCTGCACTGGCAGCATGGTGGCTGCTTGGGATTCTCTCTCTCTCTCTCTCTCTCTCTCTGTCTTTCTTTGTCCCTTCCCTGGTCACACTTGTCTCTGTCTCTCTCAAAATAAATAAATATACTTTAAAAAATTAAAAAAGACTTTTTAAAAATCTCTGCCTAGAAAACAAAATAATGATTAAATATTGAACTCAGGCTTTTTTACTTCTAGATCAGAGTTATCCCTGCTGTGCAATTAGCTTTATTAAAACAAATTAAATAGGAAGATG